CTTTGCGCAAAAGCTATATAATGCGAGCAGAAAGCAGACCAACCCACGCAATATTATTCAATGGTGTGATCGTTCATGCTATATCAAATTCAAAATGCACACACCACGATAGTTGGCCGCGTTGCAAAAAACTTATCAGCAGCAGCACAGATTACCAACCTGCTAGTGCTTTCTCAAGAGTCAAAGTAGCAAGTAAAACCATGTTGAAACACGACAAAAAAACGCCGATGGGAAATAGGACGGGTAAAGCCAGCGTGAACTCAAGTATACCGGTGCCGTACACTGCAGTCTCCTTATCAACACAACACATTTAGCTCAAATATCGATGATATGTATTCCACAAAGCATCGCAAGTACCTGATGCATTGCGTCAAGACGAGACAAGACGCAAGCAATGCCGGGTTGATCGCGGACACCGGAAGTCGCATCAAGACGTTTTAGAAACCTCTCCGTGTGGATTCGCTCTGCTTAATCATGAGAAGCTTCGACATCCGAGTCAGGCGACGGCATCATATCCGCCTGTATAAACATTAACTCAATCATGGTGAACATGATCGTTCCATGCACCCTGCAAGCATCGCCACAATATTATTTCATCAGCAGTCAGTTCTCATACCTCATTATTTCTTACGCACATCCAAGTACCTGGACACTACTGGTAGTAAAAAAACTTGGCACCAGCTAAAGGGTTGTCAAACTCCCAGAACGCGACACCAGCGTAGGTCTGCACAACATCAGCGACAACGATAAATAGGAAAATACCAGTAATGTCAATACACACAACAAGATGTGGTTTAGTCTGTTAGTCACTCAGTCATCAGCCACATCTATAAAGCACTCTCTCTCTCTCTCTTCTCTCTCTCTCTCTCTCTCTCTCTCTCTCTCTCTCTTTCGTATTGCTTCGGCCATGGCTTCACCCACTGCAATAGCCCGTCCCCCGTATACTTCTTTTGTATACTCAGATGATTGGTAGACAATCTCTGGAGACGGCGGGAGGGACGACCAAGAAAGAGAAGTAAAGGGGCAATATCGATGAATGCGCCGTGATACAGTCGACGGTTACGGCATGTATGTGCAGCGATTGCTGAGCGTGTGCAAGGGCAGTGCCCCTAGCAGGCTATCAACAAATCGGGACTGCAGTCTGTTTGAAAAGCGGAGTGTTCTACTTGTATTAGAAACGTTTCTATTAAAGTTTAATAGGAACTGGTATCTTCTTTACCTTTTTATATATTTATTGAATAAGGCTGATGGAAAACCTAACCGTAACACAATCTTTTTACGCAAACACCTATGTTTTTTTACGATTTCCCCTGTCTGGCAGAACAGTGCTGATGAACCCCGGCACACCAGAACCCGGAGGTTAGAGCTTCTTATTGGAGTCACCGGATATCGAACCAGTGATCTCGCGCATGGTGCTGCCACACCATACCACTTGAGGCACAAGCTCTTGTGCGAACACTGATGACATGGCGCGTTCAACAGAAATATGGTTTGGCTACCTTCAAACAGGATACTCGACCCAGCTACGATAGACCAGGGGCGAGTCACATGTACGATGGTATCGTGTCCTCGGACCAGAACCCGTGCGCAGACAATGCTATGATCGGCGTAAACAGACGGTGATCATTGCGGACGGCGCATCGTGCTCGCATCCCAGCTGTTTCGCGCGAAGCGAACCTCGAATTGCATCGTTGGCTCAATGGAGTGGCGCGTTGCGGGTCGTGTGACTATAGCGACGTCGTCTTCTACCAGGTGATACAAAACAAGACACCTTGGCGCATCTTGCCGGCGTCGCGTATATGTCCCTGTACCGGCTGAATGCTCAGACCGAGAAGGTGGATGTGTGATAATGGACGCGTGTGGCGATCTCATTTGCAGCACCGTTGGCTACAACAAAGGAACAGCTGTCATGAAATCGATCACCGTCCTGTCGAAAGAACGCGTAGTACAAGGCCATACGGTAGAGACTGCAACGATCAAGCTGGAAGCGTCTGAGGGCGTATGAGGTCTGAGATGGTCAGATGGAGCGCTAAGGACAGCATATTGACAAAATATCTGAACGCAGCCTTCGTGGAAATGACGCGAGGCGGATGCACTACACAGCGCAAGATGCGACAAGCTGCATGTTCAGCGGACGGACCCTAAATTACTAAGAGGGGGCTTGAACTTTCGAGTTGCAGTGTGTTAGTATGAATATAATGAAACAAATCGATTAAAAGCGGACTGCAGTAAAGAGAAGGAACGTCGTCACCCAACCAAGCCAAAACGACCCAGACGAGACAGAGTTCAAACCCAGAGCTGCACACCTTTGGACTGCTAACGAGTTACTTGACCTGCCGGCTCCTGTATACGTTCAGCACGTGCGGAAAGGCTTGAGATGCACCTTCTTCTCTTTTCATGTGAGTTATATTACTAGGAAAGTTGTAATTTTGCATTGGCGAGACAGTGTCTCGCTCCTTCTAGATGATGGTGCTCCGTCTTATGTCACGCATACAATGAATCTTGCTAATGTCAAGATGAGCCCCTTTCACAGGAAAAGTAGACACGGTCTAACCGATTGACACTGGTGCTATCTTATCAGTAAAGCGGCATTAGCCCCGCTACCGTCTGAGAGTGCGATCGATTGTGACGAGCGCATGGACTTGAGCAGCATCGACGAACAAGAGCAAATTGCTGCCATGCGCTAGACGGTAGCTGCGTGAATGCGATTTCGGTCGCCATCAGATCAATTACTTTAGCCAGCCACGCGGAAAGCTTGCAAGGTCTCCCATTCGTTACGATTGCTGCGGTGATGGAGAGGAACAAAGTTGGTGCGAACGAGATTGAGGCTGGCAAGAATTCGTCAAAGCTGAAGCTAAGCCCAAACAGCTGCGTAAACATGTAATTGGTGACGATACGCATCCTGTGACGCTAAAAATGAGCCAAATGTCGCCAAAGGCATACTCGATGAAGTCATAATCGCCGCTTAGCTCTAACTTCAGAACCTATACGTTTGTGGCCATGGAACAACGTTGGTGGACATCCCATTAGATGCTTACATTGAGATGGACACTTCGTGAAGAACAGTTTGGTTGAAAGGAGCACCGAATACTTTTTCATAGCTGCGTAGGACGAGAGAGAGTATCGCGGACGTTGTACACGGGTCATTTATGTCATACAGAGAAGTAGCGCAAATGACCATGTATAAAAAACACTACCGCGTCTACCCACGTGTCAAAGTTACGGTATGGTAAAGTGCCGAGGGGTTGTGCCATGGCGTCAGTGGTGTCTATGATGGCTGTGTTGACCGCTTTGAGACGAGGATCAGTGCCATACTCTACCAGCTGCAAGAGACAGACTACAGCGACTTGAGTGGTATGCACAGGGTGTTGACGTTGTCTGGTCACACTGGTGACTTCCAGCTGTAGTCCGTTCCACCCTCGCATCTACGCTGACACTTGCGATACAGCAATGATTGCGGCGGATTTAACACCCGTCCGCTTTGGTCTTTGCGCACGATGCTTGGGTCCGAGTTCGTATCAGGTTGAACGCGCGAAGCAATGGACGCTCACGAGTGCAGTAAGCATAGGAGCGCACGGAAGAGGGTCAATGGGTTGAAAGGGCTAGCAAGTACACACTGAAGAGTGTGACGGCCAAACTCCAGGTCTGAGCTTGATTGCTCTCGTCTCCTTGACCTTGTCTCACTTTGCGAAGCACCCCCTTGCTCAGGGCGGGTATTGTGGGTGTTGCGCCCATATTCGTCGTCATCGTTCGGTGTCCCTAGAAGTGGTAATAGTGTCTCATGTCAAGCATGTATAGATGCGTAGAAGGTTTCTGTCTCGCACTCGGGTTGCATCACGTCAGATATCTTGCGCGTATGAACCATGTGCTCAGCATTGGACGCTACTACCAGCACGAAGTCATGGCACCGAGCGGGCAGTTCGTAGCGCATCATATCGTCCACATCCAGTTTGGGATCATGCAACTGGCCTTACGGAACACCCAGTGCAACGTTGCACCACGGAATGGCAACACGCAGCTGAATCTGTACCACGCGAGGCCCTGCGGTGACAATCATTGCCTCGTCTTGCTGCGTGTCACGGTATCCAGTGAAGAACTCTGTCTCACATCTTCCAGAGCTGCCAGACAGTACATACGCGTTTGTTTAGGCAAATAGACGCATTGGCCGCTGCACAGGCTGGAAAAGCGACAGATAGGCCACTGGGTCCAAGTCGCTTACTCGAAGTGCGAATCGACAAGCGCTCTAGAATACCACTACGGCAGAGGCATCGACTGTATCAACATGCCAAGTGGCTGACTGGATCCAGCGCAACTTTTCTGACTCGAGGGAGTGTCAAGAGACATCTTGCACCTCATCAATGACATGCCCATCGACTCTTCTGGAAACGAAAGATCCCTCTTTCTTGTTCAAACGAGACGACCGGTCGTGCCAATATGTCGGCAGTGGAAACTCATTCGCGTACACCTGTACGGAACAACGCCGCGGCGGTCGGAATCTAAGCCAGTCAAACGCGGGGATCAGGCAGCAAAGACGACTCCTGGCATTGCAGTAGCCCCAGTCGTCAGCTGCTCGGACACCCCGCTCTTTCGATCCAGTCCAACAGCGATTGACCGTAATCGATTGGGTGAAGGGATGCACTTTTACTCAGAGACGCGCAATAGCTACCGATGCGTTGAGTGTAGGGAAGAAGAACGTGGATAGGGATGGGAGGGGGAGGGGAGGGTTCAGCGTGTCCGAATCGACACAATCGCTCCAAAATCCACTGCGACGCTGTTAGTTGTCAGGACCACAAGACGAGAGAGACGACACGACCGTGAAACACCTCTCCTCGCAGCCTCCTCGCAGCTGGTCAACCCTTCGGACAATGATTGATCAAACAAACGGGTCACGTTCTTCCATTGACATCGAAAAGAGGAACTTTCGGGCCCGCGGACGAGCACCTTAAATGAATGGAGTGCATGCAACGCGGCAATACCCAACGTCTACGACCTGATACCGTCTACACGGCGTACGACTTGCCCGGATACGCCTGCAGCACGTCCGGTGCTCGAAAGTCACAGCTGCCGGGTTCATAGCTCCGCACGTGCGTGCGCAGCTGCGCCAAAGTGCAGCACGAGCAAAACCACGAGCTGAGCAGGTCCGTCCAGACGGTGCCCGGGAGCTCAAACCGCGTGCGCGTCTTCACGCGAAGGTGCCATAGAAAGACCGACAGCAGGAGCTGCACAATGAGCGTAATAATGACGAACGTCACGTTCACGACCTTGTTCTGCGAGTCGTCGCTCGAGTCGTACAGGTCCTTGGGCTGGCCGTTCTCATGGTCGTGCCCATCGGGTGTCGTCCAAATGAGCGCAAACATCGCACCTTCGACCAGCGTCACAAACAGCAATAGACTCAACACGACTCGGTACGGAGCAACGCCGAGTCGAGCCGACAGCTGCGCCAGTGCCACGCACGGACACAGCGTGACCATGCAGCAATTGGGCACGAGGCTGTCGAAACAGTCAAACAGACCTGCTGCCCATGCGCCCGTGGGGACCCCGTCGCCCGGAACGACTTCCATCGTACGTGGCGTATCGAGCTCCATCGCCGTGGACGGCGATGGCAAATGGTTTGTCGAGTTTACATACACCGGCGCAAAGTCGCCACCGGACGTTGTCATTTTGGTGAACTGCGCGCGCGTGGAGATGGGGTTCGACATGGTGGGCGGAGGGGGTGGGAGGATCAACTCGAGGGGTCAAAGTCGCTCGTCTGGCGGTCGATACAGCAAGTTGGATAGTGAAGAGGATTGAGGGGCCGGCTGGCTGGCTGGCTGGCTCGGAGGTAGACAGGGTAAGGTGAGTGTGCGTGAGGATGGAAGTATGGGTAACTCGCTTGGCGGTCCGAGTACGTATTTACGCCCTCGTTCCCTCCTCCGTCCGCCATGAAATGGGTTCGGTGAAAGAACCCATGAGACATCTGAGTCACACACACACGCACAATAACAAGGACAAGCCGTCGTCTCGTTACATGGTGATACACATGGATTTTCCACCACTTAAAACACTGCGGCCATTCCTGGAATCAGATTCACACCAGCATCAACAAAACAAACACCTACCCTCGACGTAGACGATAGAGCGGCTACCACGCGGTTCATTCGCCGCCCACGTACCACTTTCTCGTCCAGATAGTCATGCTACTCTTGATTTGTTGTGGCTGACAAATGATCGTCCATCCCAAACTGGGTACGGTCTCCAGCGCCAATCATAGGCGCGGCGACTTTTGTCGCCACGTTGTTGGTAGCCAAAAGACAAACGGGGTCCGCTGATGACTCGGAACCGGTCTCGGGGGTTGAAGATGTAGGTGCAGAGCCTGTGCTGCCATTGTCAAACAGTCCGTCGTGCAGTGCCATGCGAACGGGCGGCTTGCGTTTGTACGTGTAGCCAATGAACTTGTTGAACGTCAACGGTTTGCCATCCGGGCCGAATGCTTGCGGCACCTCGCCTCCATTATCATCATGGGAGGTGGCCTCATTGCCACGAGCTGCAACGCACTGCCCGTCCATTGTTGCTGCTGACGGTTCCTGCGCCACGCTGGACGCTTGCACCGGAGCTGGCGCAGGCAATTCACACGGCTCTGTAAACTCGTCAAAGTTTGACGTGATCTGCCGAACGAGCTCTTGGTATGGCGGGCCACCCTGGCCGGGGTCGTTCGCCTGCAGTTGGTGCAAGACCTTGTCAAACTGTGCGCCACCGCCTGGCGGAATGTAGGGAGCCTGAATCGAGCGCAACGTTGACCAGTCGACACCGTTGAACCACGGGTGTCGCTTGATCTCCTCAATTGACCCTGTTCCCAGTCGGTTCTCTGCATTGCAAATGAGGCCCCTGACAAAGGCCATGCACTGCGGGCTTAGTCGGGCGATGGCCTCTTGAGGGAACCCGAACGACTGCTTCCAATTAATGATCTTGCGGCACGTCTGCACGGGCTCATCCGCGTAAAACGGAGGGTAGCCCACCAAACATTCGTACAAGATCACACCCAAGGACCACCAATCGCACTCTTTGCCGTATCCCTTCTGTGCCAGCACCTCTGGCGCAATATAGTCCGGTGTACCGACGGTACTGAACGCAACCTGTCGATAGCGACAGAAAGGTTTGCTGCGTGACGCATCCATGCCGTTTTCGGCACCATTTCCTGCACCTCCATTTGCTGCTGCAGCTTTGTCGGGGTTCATCACGTGTTGCGTGATCGGTAACAAGTCCACCCGCGAGTCCATCTTCTTGCAAAGTCCTAAATCCGTCAGCTTCAAGTGTCCATGAGCATCCAGCAGCACATTGTCCGGTTTCATATCACGATGAATGTAGCCGAGATCGTGCACCGACTGGATCGCTAGCACCATTTCCGCCGCGTAAAAGCGCGTCGTGGCTTCATTGAGCGTGTCTTCTTTCATCAACAAGCCCATCAAATCTCCTCCAGGCAAATACTCCATCACCATGTACAGCCGATGGTCATCTTGGAACGAGTAGTGCAGCATCACGAGCCACTTGTTGTCCTGGTCAGCACTTGCCAAGATATCGCGCTCGGCCTTGACGTGGCCCACCTGATTCTTGAGCACCATCACGCTCTTGTCGAGCGACTTGAGCGCAAAGATCTCGCCACTGTCTCTCTTCCTCACGAGACGAACTTCGCCAAACGCGCCTCGACCGATCACTGCAAGTGGCTGGAAATCCCCCACCGCTAAGCGCTTGCGCTGATGGCGCATACTCTGTAACTCTTTCGAGCGGAGCTCCTGACGGTACTGCTCTTTCTTGCGCTCGGTGAGACACAGCGCGGCCATCTGCTGCTCCAGCAAGTTGCGTCGCTCACGACTCTCTTCGCGCTCGCGCTTCATGGCGGCATACTTCTGCTCGAGATAGGCCTTGGTGGCCTTGGCTTTCTCTCGCGTCGAGTCGGAGATCATCGCGCTACTGGAGGAAGCGAGCGTGACGAAACGCGCGAGAAAGCTTGATGTGGATTGGATGAAATGCAAAGTACCTGGGTGCAGAGTGGACGAAACGACGGACGGAGCACTATTGTGTTAGTGGTACATCTTGGTTGATGTCATTGCAAATATTGCAATGGAGTTTCTCGTCAGTCTGTGCTCGAATCAGAAGTACAAAGCGATTCGAGCTGTCCGTAGACAGACGATGCAGGCAAAAGAACGTACCGCGCGTGCGGGGAAAAGGCACAACGATTATGGCTTCGATTACGGCCAGTGTGTCAAAAATCATAGCCGCGGACGGATGGGCGTGCAGCGCCGGTCGAACTGGGTTGAAGAACGATGAAAAACGCATAGGCGATCGAAGGCGGCTCTTCCTGGTGGTGATTCAACACGTCGTTGACGGCTTATGGCAGCGACGAGCCGACAGCGACTCTTGACATGCGTGAGCTGCACGTTTGCTTGCGTGCTGCCCACCGGCCATTTGTAGAGGCGATTGTGACTCCGTACACGTCGAGGACGCACCTTCATGCGTTGTTACGTACATGTATCGATGCGTCACGTCCCTGACACACTCAATCCGACGTCCTACTCGGTCTTAGAGAAGGACATTCTGCTTCATGAAGCGCTTCATCTCGCCTAGTACTGCGAGTTCCTCGCTCACCAACTAGCTAGCCAACGTCACGGTTTTCTTTTGCGCTCCAGTCGGCCATGTCGCCATAATGTGCTTACAGCTTGGTCGTTGTAGTGTCCATCGTGCTGCCTTGCACTTTGTGTTCTCACGCCATAACGGCGACCAGTGGCACCGTGAGCTTTCTCGGCTGATGTCAAATGTGCTGCAAAATGAGATTGCCACACGCGTCCATTATCACGCATCCACCTTCCCAGTCTCAGCCTTCAGCCGGTACAGGGACATATACGCGACGCCGGCAAGATGCGCCAAGGTGTCTTGTCTTGTATCACCTGGTAGAAGACGACGTGGCTGTAGTCACACGACCTGTCACGCGCCACTCCATTGAGCCAACGATGCAATTATGAGCTCGCTTCGCGAGAAACAGCTGGGATGCGAGCACGATGCGCCGTCCGCAATGATCACCGTCTGTTTACGCCGACCATAGCATTATCTGCGCACGGGTTCTGATCCGAGGTCACGATACCATCGTACATGTTACTCGCCTCTGGTCCATTGTCGCTGAGCCGAACATCCTGTCCGAAGGAAGACAAACCAGCTTTGACGCATACGCAAGAGGATGTGTAGCGTATACGAATGTATACGGTGCTTTGCGATATGATCGTCAGCGCACACGCCCAATGCTCGCAGTGCAGCACACAGAGCAAATAGCTCAACGCGAAGGCATCACTCTACGCGTATTGCTGGCATGTGTATGGCTTTCACAGGGGTTTGCGCTCGTCGATGACAGATAGAGAAACTGGTAAAACGCTGTGCTGACAAATGAGCGAGATCGCGGCACAGGGACGCTTTACACGACCTGTCTTGTGTCGTTGACATCTCAGTCACGTTTGTATGTTACATCGGCCTTTTGTTTTGGCAAGCTGTGATATGCAAAGCGAGGAGGAATACACCAAGCATCGTTGTACTCGAGCTATTGGTCTACGAGTACGAATGCATGCGAACGCGTACGCGCAGCAAAATCTAGTAGCAACGGGTATTCTCGTACATAGTTTCTCGCGAATGACGAAAAATCCATCGCGGCTTGTACGCTGAAGTAATGCCGTTCACTTCCATCCGCCACGGCTTTGGCGCACACACAACGAAGTGTACTTTACAACTGGAATGTGCGATTTTTATGCTTTCACCTGTAATTGAAGCCGCTTGTCGGGTCGCTGGATGATGGCTGGCGTCAAACACATTGGTACAAGGTCCTTCTGTCCTTTTGCCGCAATGTAGCAAGACAACTCGGTGGAAAATGGTGCGGTATCAGTGGACATCTATGAGGTACCAACCAGCCGCTATCGTTGTACAGACTACATACTTCCCAACGTCCTGTTTGCTGTCTTCCAGCGAATTGCTGACATGCAGCTCGTTCGAAGTGTTGCTTCGTCTTCAATACTATAACACTCGTTGGCAGTGCATCACTACCGCACGATCCCGGATATTACATGTACTACCTGTCCGTCTCTACATTTCGTTGATGGGGTTGCGGTCCAAATGCCAACTAGTCTCACATTCCACTTCAGCGTTGCTACGATTCCGTCGTGCGCTCTGACGTCTAGCTTAGCCTTTTTCGTCATGATGTCAGGGCCGCGTACGCCGTATAGCTCAGCTGGTCTCATTTGATGTATCCTGTAGTGCGTAGTCTCTCTCTCGAGTAGGCCTAGCTACTTGTCGTTAGTGAAGATGCGTATGATGGCACAGTCAATTGACAAGGAGTTGACTTGCCAACTTCATAAGCCAGCTACTATGCTCATCTTGTGCATTTTTTTCCACCACCCACTCGCTAGGAGCATTTCCCAACATCCTAGGTCACTACATGCCCGCCGCCTCTGTGCGATGCCGCGACGTGAGCGCCGTGAAAAGAAAAACTTTTCCATGAGGAAAAGTCAAGTGCCAATTTCTCTTTAAGTTCACGAACTTGCGTACAAATGTTGTCGGCAGTAGTCTTACGTGCAGGACACCGATCGAGTCACTAGCTCGACTGCTCGTTAGCTGTTTCGTACAACGGACGCTAGAATACGGAGCGATGTGTTGGAACCCGCACAAAAGGTCGTCCACGTTTACCACGAGCAGAGGTGTCTCGTCAGCTTTCAGATCGTCTTTTCGTCTCTAATCTTAAGAGAAGGCGTGGCATTTAGCCCAATTCGACGCACGAGGTGAATACCCGCTTCTCTACCACCCACCCATTCATCCATCCATCCACCCACTCCTTCTTCTTGTCAAACCCATTCACGCACATAAAACCTCAAACGACCGGCAAAGGGCTGTGCAAAAGTATCCATGTCGTCAATAGCATAACAAACGTCAAACACCACGCGCACCTCACACACGCACAACAACAGGCTGGACGACCCACCTTGTCGGCTAACTGTTAAATAACCAACAACCAGCATACAACAACAACACCAAGTGTCGTTCGCAACGGTCTCATTGTCATCATCATCATCATCATCATCATCATCATGTTTGACACGACGATGGACGGCCGCCACACCCCAAGCAAGAACCGCGTCAAGCACCGGTCAAAGCACAACGTGACAGCTCTGGACGATGCCGGGGTCATGACCGGGCACGCGCTGGCGCAGACGGGGCCGTGCAGGTGCGTCATACGTTCATCTTACGCGAGAAGTAGCGCACCCAAAGGCTCTGAATCCGATGGGCAGTAGCTAAAGTGAGCGCTCGTTAACACTTTGTTGCTCTACACAGACGCAATAACGTGCAGAAGCGCCGAAATGGTAGGGAGGAAGAGCACCAGTATAGTCGGTACACGGAGGAGATCGAGCAACTGCCGCTCGGTCCGGACACGCTCCAGCGCATGCAGCATCTACACGACGGTCAGCAGTACGATCGACCACCGAGACTGTTGCCCGACATTGCGAGCGTCAAGATTTTGTCGCACCAAGAAGTACAGCTCGATGTCAAGCACATTCAGCACCAGCTCGCGGCGTTCGAAGCTCGTGCGGGACTTCAGCTGTATGTGAAGCGCCCGGCGGTCGGGGACAAGCAGGTTCGACGGCTGTGTCTCGTCAACGAGAGCGACAATGACTGTGATGCAACGACGACAGCCGCACGATTGCCGACAGCGCGGGATCATCCACGCAGTGACGTCATGGCTCCAGAGGAACTTGTTGAGACGTTACCGGCTGCTCGACGTGCTGTGCGTATCACGCAACGTGAGCTCCAGGCCATGAGAATTGAGCGTGAAGATCTCGAGCGAGCTTTTGTCCGGCATCGGTGCACCTTGTTGTGGCAAGTTGGTGAAATGAAGCGCATGCAAAAGCAGCAGGATCGTGTGACGCGAGCACTCAGTTGCGAAGTGGTGAACACGGCAAAAAGCTTGGAGTCAAGTCGACGGCGCACTAGTGCACTTCAGGACATTATGACAGAGCTTGACGTGCGGGGCAATGACGTCTTGCGTCTTACTCGTGAAAAGAGCAGGCTTAAAGCAATGCTGAAAGCACGGAATATTGAACTGCCTGAAATCGACGAAGTCTGTGTTGGTGACCGTGTGCAACATGATTCGTTTGGGACTGGTCGTGTGCTCGAACTGCGCCTAGCTGCGCGGCAACTGGTGGTGAAGCTGGATTCAGGTGGCACTGCATACATTCAAGAAGAGGGTGCGGAGGTCTTGCCGTCCGACTTGACGTATACAGAGACAGAAGAAGAGCTTAAACGGCGCTTGTTTGAGAAAATTGGAGCATTTGACCAACCTTCGAGCAAGTTGCGTGTGCCCGACCGAGTGGTTGGCCCGACACTGGATGACAGTGAAAACGAGGGTTCGGACGACAGTAACGACGAGTCATCGTCGTCAGAAGAAGAATCAGGGGCATCACCTGGTGATGATGAGTTCACGGACGATGCAAGTCGTCGAAAAGGCAGAAAGCGGCGACTGGTTATGTTCTCCGCGCCAGTAAGGAGTAGCAAGAAGTCGAAGAGTCGTCGTGTGATTGATTTCCCAGCGTGTACGATTCCGAGCACACCGTTCGAGACGGGACTTTTGCTGAGCCCATTGAGCGAGTTGCCTGGTCATGTAGCTGCAGTCGGCCCCTGTGCACTTCAGTGGCTGCCATCTTGTCTGCCTAAAAACATGGACGAATGGGAGCAAGAGCGTTTGTTATCGCTTCAGATGAAGGGTGAGATCAAACGGCTGCGGTATCAGCTACAGAAAGCAGAAGGTAAGTCGTCATTATCTAGTGCAAGAACATGGCTACGTGTGGGAATTGCAGTGTCATATGAACAATGACCCGTTGATTGACACGTGTGTGCGACAGCTCATAAACTGGATGCACAGCAGCTTGCGAGTGATCAGCTCGAGTCGATTAACCAGCTTGTGTCACAGGTGTGGTTGTTTGAATATCATTGCGACATGATGACGCCGTTCCGTGCGCTGACGTTGCTTACATTGGTGTGTAGTTGGACAAGTTAAGAGATATCCCTGGTGGTCCGGGAACTCTCGGCTCATCCTCTGGTAGCCACAAGGCACCGAAGGGTTTTGACGACGAGGGTAAGGACACCAGCAACCGACGGGAAGACTCTGTTTTAAAACAAGGACTTGCTGAGACCAAGAAGAATAGCAAGAGTATTGAAGCTGACGATCACGGCAGTAGCGTACACAGCGACGCAAGGCGAACACTGAAGAAACGACACAGCAACGCGACTAAAGTAGTGGCCGAGAATGGCAACGATTCTAGTGGCGTCGCAAAGGTCAAGATGAAAGCAAAAGCTCAACCAGTCAAGCGCTCTCTTCGACCACGAAGAAAAGCTGCTACAGCTTCTCCAAAGCCTAAGTAGACTGTTCGCACGATCGTGCGGGATCAGGCTACAGGAGCCATCACCACCTTTGTGCAGGTAAAACATGTCTTGTTTGTTTAAAATGAACCAACATTAACACAGTAGAGAAAAAGTAGCGTGTAGGCGAAACTCCGATCAATGAAGAGATGTATGAATTGCAGAGTGAAAAGAAAGACACGTCGACGGGGCGCGTCGTGCTTACATGACGACGCAGCACGAGTTGGTTTTCTTGGCCTGTTTGTAAAACACCTTGGACTGGCTGCTGAGGTCCTGCGATTTCGACACAAGGTCATCCAGCTTCTCTCCGCGCTCCAGCACATTGTCAATGGTCTTTGACAACACGGCCGTCGTCTCATTCAGCTCCTTCTGAATAGCCGAAATCTTGTCGGCCTTGGACGGGTCCTGATACTCGGCCAAAGCTGTTGTCAACGGCCCAAACTCCTGCGGATTCCCTTTCTGAGTCTTCCAGCTGCCACTACACAGCACAAAAAGGACACACACAACCACCCGGCCACGACATCAGAATCTACCACTCAACGAGCACAGAAGCGTGGCCAAGTAAACGCTGCGCCCTTCAAACTCACCCCGTGGACTTGTCAAACTCGTCCATAAGTTTGTTCAGCAGCGCAAACGCTACACGGGGCGGGTACTCCTGGTCGCACACGACAATGCCCGAGAGGCCGTCACGGCGCACGTGCACGTGACAATTGTACTCTTCATGCTGGACCGACTGCCGCTGGCCAGCTTCCGTCCGTTTGATAAACGTGCGGCTGAAAAAGTTGATCATCTCTCGGACACTGCAGAGACACCACGCCACCATAGACACGCACCAGAGCACAAGAAAAGAAGCATCGTCAGTACTGCCAAAACAACACAAGTCCCACGTGAACTTTGCTGTGGCTATCCTTGTAGCGTCTACGATGACCGGTCACGTACCCCGATCGCTGGAAATAGCCAAAAGACGACACTTCAAACGCCGCCGAGAGGATCTGGGGATCCTGTCCCTGTCCATCTTGACGCAGCAGTTCTATACAAGCGAATTCACCACACACACACACACACGTGTTTCCAATCCACAAGATTAGGCCTCAAACCGTTCCATGTACTTTTGGTACAAAGTTGTTTTTCTTCGTCTGCTCTCCTCCCTCTCGTGCACCAAATATGTAAGAGACAAGTGACTGTACGTTATACTAGCGACACTACAAGGGGAGAGGCCGTACCCCACGCTCCACACACACATATATATATCCTGTACAGACACACACACACAAACGTACCAATCGCAACGATTTTCATGACACGTACTGACTCGGGCACCACGTGTACAGGGCGAGCGAGCGAGCGAATGAGAACGAGAGAAAAGCGACTGCGACGTGCCAACTCGAGCGGCGTTTTTTTTCGGTATTATTTGGGAATAAATATTTTTTCGTCGACTGGTTTGTCACAATTTATGTATCGGTGCGTCACGCACTTCTGCTTTTTGGACGGTAAAAGAAAGCGGGCGTCTCTGATTGGCTGAATATCCGTCGCCTATCTTTTTCCTGCAGCTGCGACTGAACTCTCGAGCGCTCGTGATGAGCGGACGGCCGTATGCGCGCAACCCGCGCGCTCCGCACACAGGACTGAGCGACCTCGAGGCGATTCTGCCGCACACGTTTCGTCTCCAGACGTCCCGTCGACCGCGGGATGCAAAATATCGCGCGGTGGTCGCGTACGTGGCGTTGTATTGACGTGAACCACGCGAGGATCACAAAAGCCGATGGGTTGTGCTTGTTTTGCTCGTTGCGCAGCGGTATTCGTCGTCAGTGCAGGCAAAAGAACTGGCGAAAGATGATAAGCGTCCGGCGGAGGAGACAGTATGGAGAAGTAGTGGCGGGAAACGATGGACAAGTGCGTCAGACAGAGGCGGAGGAGCTGCAGCCGCCAACGACAACAGTAGCAGTAGCAGTAGCAGCAGCAGCAGCAGCAGATGTAGCTGCACAAGAAGATGACAACGACTTGGAAGAAGCTCGAAATGAGTTGGTGAGACTCGAGCAGAAGTTACAAGAGCTGACAGAGCAGAAACACGCCAAGTTTCAGCTGCTGAAGGGCATTTTAGTCGAGGAAGCCAAGTCCAAGATGACTGCTGTGAGCGACGGTGAGACTACGGGGACGCCTGCAAGCAAGAAATGAAGCGTGTGACCTAATTCAAGGTCGGCTGGTCTTGCTTCTTTGCAGGCACCTGCTTTTATTTGACAGGGGCTCCTGGTTGAGCTGTGACGACGAGAGTGGCCAAAGTATTTTGCTGCGATGAAACTTTGGGACGGATCTGGCCCACTAGAAGCGATGTGTTGAAATTTGTGGTCCACGCTAGAAGGGGTGTGAGGCTGTTGAATGAAGCGGCTGTGTGCGTGTATATCCCTGCTTTTCTTGTTATAGTGTTTTACGAACTCGTTGTGGCCATTGAGTCGTTAGATTGACGACTAGATGCCCGTACGTCAAGATGTGCATGACGAAACAAATAGCAGCAAGCAAGCTCATACATCCTACTTGAGACTAACCTTTGTTGCATACTTGCAGAGTAGCAGCTCCAGCTGTGCAAGTCAACTGCGACGAGAAACTAGACAGATAAGAAAAAAACTGACGTCTGTTTGGAGTTGGATCAAGTGAAAGCCTGATGCTGTACTGTAACATCATCCTGGATGGGCTGCCAACATTGCATTGATTGACGAGACTACGCAAGCTTTTCGTGTGCTTGCAGCCAGTAGGTTTTACCGAACATATTTGTCGTCATAGCATGAGTTTGGAGCTGGATACGCTCAGTCGTCCTGCTCACGATGTAGCAAGGATATATGTATGTATATTGCCTCGCCTCTTATTACGTCTTTGCACCGACGTCTTCTACCTTTGAGCTGGATATGCGTTGCTCGCTCGGCTTGGCCATCTGAAGATATTGTCTATCAGTCAGCGATAACAAATGGCAACCCCATCAAGTAGCAAATCCGTCTTGCTCGTGGTCGATATAGGACTAGTCTGAAACACTGTGGTTGAAGAATTCGGTCATTTATCTTTCGTTATGAAGTAGGTAAAGGCTTTTATGCCTTTACCTACTTCCCACCCGCTGTCCATCCTGTCCATTCGATTCGAAAATGCCGCATTTCGTGTCGCACAATGTATTTCCAATACGAAGACAAAGTCAGCTGCCGCCTTTCGCATTGTCGCCCGGCGCGCCTCACGCGCAACCGTACTTAGGACGTCACTCTTTTCCAGCACGTCTTTCTGCGTATTGAAGCACTCACTGCACTACTCTCCAGCCTGCACTTTGTTTGACCTATCGATCAGGTACCCATCAACAAGTACTGAGCGAGATGGTAAGATTACAGAATGCTCAAGGCAACAGCTCGTGCTGTGTAAAGAAAGTAAACATGTTGGTATTTGTCACTGTAAATAATTAATAATTGAGGATCTACAAATAGGTGTGGTAACAAGGACCGTCAACGAGAATACATACGCCAAAGAGCTTACCGAAAGTTTTCAATCTCTTTGATGAAATTTTGTGCGTGGAAATGGTCAGCAAGCAGTGAAAAACACGCAAGGCAATCGACAAGCTGCTTCGCCTGTAAAAAGGATCGAAAAAGGTTATCAAAAGTTTATCCCTAAGAACATAGGATCTACAGCTTGACGCCATCATCAAGCACGGACTGAACATAACAGGTCGCGACTCGCTGTGCACGTAGTGCAGTTATATATTGATCACATAGAAACTATCTGTAACGGGGTAGCCCATTACATAAAGTCACCATTGTGAGAAAATAGTAACAAAGAATATTACGTTGAGTA